CTTCCATCTCAAAACTGGCTCACAGACAACATTCAACTTCCCTTCCCATTTCATTGATGCCCTGAAGGGCAGGAATGGCTCAATATCTGACCCAAGAGTGGCGTTTGGGATGCATTTCACTCAGATAAGAAACCACCGCTGTGCTTGCCATCATCAGAATTATTCTTCAAAGGACATTTTCAAGTGGGGCCTAAGAGACTGGAACACAGGGAGGGAACATTTATTTGCCTAGTGGTCCACTCAGACTCCAGGCCAGACTTGCCATCAAATCCAGGCATGCAATAATGAGCTCTTTATACATATATATATATATATCACTTTGTAAACTTTCACCCAAACTACAACAAGCAGTTCAAAAGAAAGAGAGGAATGGTGAGGTGTGATTTCAGAACTGCATACAGAGCAGGTGAATAACCTATGGGGAGATCAAACCATAGCCTCCCGACCAGGAAAAAAAATCTCATCTTCTCAGTTTCCGGCACTTTACCCCCTGACTCTTCAGGACTCTGAAACCCAGAGCAAGCTTCTCTGAAAACCCTGTATGATGTGGCTAAAGGAGGACATCCTGCCATCTCCCTCCGACCATAACTGTAGGGTGGTGGACCACCGCTCCTGCCCAGGCACTGAATCTCTTCTCTGACATTGTCCTACACATTGACCCTTTGTCCTAATGTCCCTTCACATCTGGTTCTGCAAGCTCCTCCTCAGCTTCAGCCACCGTCTCTAGAGAAGACTCACGAATCCATGTCAACACCCCAGGCTATCTCCCCATGGTCATTCTGAGACCTGCCGCCTGGGCATGTCCATCAGGCTGCCCGGCTAGTGACTACAACTCAGACCATTCAGACACACTCAGCTTGTCCTCAAGTCCATCTTCTCTCAGAATGGGTGTCCTCATATTGGATGCAGAACCTGAAGCCCCAGGCCTTAGGTTTTCCATGCCACCACCACACTGATGCACACTTCAGACGTGAGCCTTACTCTCATCACTTCAAATCCCTATCCGAAGGAGTTGGTGGTGGCTTCCCACAAGCACTTAAGTACCAGGCTGAGACAGAGAGAGGCTTTGAAAGCAGAAACTTATGTCTGGGTTACCAGCTACGTGACCTTGGGAAGGTTATGTACATGTTGTCAGTGATGTTAGAACAAGGATTACAGGTGATGGATGTAAGCTGTCAGGCCCACAGTGGTTTTCGTTGTCATCTCCACTCAAGGTGACCTCAGGTACAACCAAACAAAACGTTGTCCAATCCTATACCATCTTCATGGTCATTGGTTATGTCCAAGTCTATTGTTGAAGTCAATATGTATTTTCAGTGCCTTCCAGCATAATGTCAGGCAATATTCTGTATTTTTAATATAATTAATACATAGGGTATTTTGGTGCTATTTTTAACACAAATCACCAGACCTTTCTTCTGAGTTTCTCTCAGTCTGGAAGCTCTGGTGGCTGGCCCTGCTGGTCGAAGAAATGCCAATAGAATAGCTCTCAGTATCACAGCAACACCGAAGCCAGCACCATACGGCACACTGGTTGTTAGTTAGTGGAGACAGTTATTAGAGGTCAACAAAACCACTTGTATGTTCCCATTACATTTAAAGCATAGAAGACATTTTGTAAATAAATGAACAAAAAAGCATAGATATCAAGAAGGAAGAGTTCTAACCCATTCCACTTGAATTAACAGTTTTAAATGTCTGTAGAGAACAAGGTTCTTCTCCTAAATCCCCAAATGTGCCTACTCTTTTCTTACACGTGCCATTCCCACCATGGTTCCAGCGGAACAGACCATCATGGCTGAGTGAGTCCATGGCTGTGGAAGGAATGTCTTCAGTGGCTCGTTTGAATTCCCTTCTGCTCTTTGCGCAAAGTCACAATAAGTAGTCCTCAGTGACTTGAACAGTGTTGTTGCTGTTGTTCTAACTCATAGTGACCCTATGTGGCACAGAGTAACACTGCCCGGTGCTGTGCCATCCTCACAGTGGTTGGTATGTCTGAACCCAGTGTTGCAGTCACTGCGCCAATGCATCTCACTGAGGGTTGTCCTCTTGTTCACTGACTCTCCACTTTACCAAGCCTGGTGTCCTTTTCCAGGACTGTTCCCTCCTGATAGACAGACAAAGTCTCACTATCGTCACCTCTAAGGACATTCTGACTGTACTTCTTCCAGGACAGACTTGTTTGTCCTTCTGACAGTCCATGTTTGAGAGCTTGCCATATTCCAGGTCCTGAGTTCATTACCGTGATGACATCACAATCTGTGTGGGATACTGGTTCTGGTGTGGTGCTGTGGATAAACCCTGGACCGCTAGGTTGTTTTGAAATGCAAGATTGATGGTTCAAACTCACCAGTCACTCCTCAGAAACCCTATGTTGTTGTTAAGTGCCGTGGAGTTGATTCTGACTCATAGCGACCCTTTACAGGGTTTCCGAGGCTGTAAATCTTTATGGGAGCAGAAAGCCTCATCTTTCTTCAGCGGAGCAGCTGGTAGTTTCGAACTGCTGACCTTAAGCTTCACAGCCCAAATCATAACCAGTACGCTACCCTATCCAGGGTCGCTATGAGTCAGACTGACTTGATAGCAGTTGTTAGGTACCAGCAAGCTCGTCCCAACTGAAAGCAGCCTCATGAAGAGCAAACTGAGACACTGCTGAGTTCTGTGCCATCCTCACACCCAATGTAACAGCCACTGTGTCAATCCCTCTCATTAAGTGTCTTCCTCTTTTTTACGGATACGCCACCAAACACTATGTTCTTCGCCAGGATTCATCCCTCCTAATACCACGTCCAGGTTTATAAATCCTCAGTAGCCTCAATGAACTAGGTATACATTTTCCCCTATTTTAGATAAGAAATGCTTCCAGAAGTCACCCAGCTGGGTGGAGCTGGGATTTGAACTCAGTTGGTTCAGGGCCAGAGCCCACACTGTTAACCATTCACTATTACCAACTCTCTCTGCTTCTTTTCTTCCCCGTCAACTGCATTTGCTTATTCTTGTTCCTGTGCCCTCTTTGACATACTTTGAGCTCCCCATTTTCCAGGGACAAGAATAGAGGATCACAGAGTGGTAGAAGAATGGATAAGGGTGAAGATTTTGATGTCCCACAGCCTCTCCTCCTTGCCAATCCTGGGCAATTCTTGAAGTCCACTAAATCTCAATGCAGAATAAAAGCTAGAATGCTCACTACACACTGATGAAGCATCTAATAAAAAGTGTTTATCACTTTGCCTGTTTAATAAGTAGGTGATGTTGCAAATTACCACCCACTTGGCTCTGATTCATGGTGATCTTGTGCATAACAAAATGAAACATTGCGTGTTCCTGTTCCACTTTTATGACCACGGGTATGTTTGAGTCCAGCTTTGCAGCTGTTAGGTCATGCATGTCATTAAGGGTTTACCTCTTTTCTCGGACCCTCTACTTTATAAACATGATGTCCTCTTCCAGTGGTTGGTAATTACTGACTCAATGCACAAAATAAATAAATCAAAGCCTCATCATCCTTGCTTCTAAGGAGTTGTACGTCTTCGAAGGAATCCATGGTCTATTCAGTATTTCTCACCAACAGCACAGTCTGAATGCATCAAACCAGATCAATGTTATTGATTACAACGATTCAAAATAACAAATAAGAGACCATCACACTAGATGGTCACTTGTGAGGGTGTAAGCGTGTGTCATATGCCAAGAAATCTGTGTTGTGTGCACATCCAATAAGCTGTCCACCCTGGTCACATGCAGTTACTTTGGAGTTGCTTCCCCCTGAAGGCATGTCCATCTTTAAGAATTTCTTGCACCATTGTTGCCAAGACAGTTGTGGTTTGAAAAAAAAAAGGAATGTCTTGGTCCAAACTTACATCTACAGGTAAAGATGAGAATCTTAACTTCTTGTGTCTTGATGTACTCAGGGTTACAGAGTTGATGAAAAGGCAGCTGAAAAGGCTCGATGGGAAGAGGCCTCCAAAAAAACAATCAAGAAAACCACCAAACCGTGTCCACGCTGTCATGTACCTGTTGAAAAAAATGGTGAGTCTGGGCAGAGCAAAAAAAATGGAGGTTGAATGAGTTTTTTATAGCAGAGTATCTGCTGCCTGGCTGCCTGGTTACAACAGGCAGGGCATCTGGGGGGAGAACTTGGTAACTAAGTCACCGAACAGATGGATTGAAGTCGCCCAGCAAGAGTGAGAATCTCAGTTCTGTCCTGTCAAGCATCTTAATGTCCTAAATCTCAGCTCCTCATCTGTGAGAGAGAGATCATGATCCAAACGACCACAGCGGGTGGCTTTGAGAATCACAGGGAATGACGGGTTTCAGTGCACTGCTGAGCCCAGTAGCTGGCATATGTCATGTGGAGACCTCGTGTACAACAAAATAAGGCATTGTCCAGTCTGGTGCCATCTCCACTATCAGTGACTTACTTGAGTTCATGGCTGCGGCCACTACTCATTTCAGACGCCTTCAAACCAAGGGAGTTCCTTTTCTAACACTGTATCGGACATATGCTCTTGTCACCCAAAGGGCTTTTATTGTCTAACTTTATAAAGTAGATTACCAGGCTTTTCTTCCTAGTCTGGCTGAATCTGACCACCTTGAATGAGGGCATTTTAAATGCTGGTGGCATAGCTTCCAGTTTCACAGCAACATGCAACCAATGGGGCAAACTGACAGATGGGTGGTGGCAAATAGGAAGTCCTGTTGTTAATGATGGAGTCCTGGTGTGGCGCTGTGGGCTAAGGCGCCAGACTACAAACCGTTTGAACTGCAAGGTTGGCGGTTCAATCTCACCAGCTGCTCCTTGAAAACCCTATACAGGGTTGCTATGGGTCGGAACCAACTCGATGGCACTTCACAACAATACCAACATTGTTAATGATAGCCACTTTGCATCTGATTGCTGTCTACTGCTCTAAGCAACCAAAGAGAGAGAGAGAAAATTCCCAGTCCAGTATTTCTCAAACTGTCCCCAATGGTCCTCTATCCCACAGCTGGTAGTCTATAGTGGAAAGGGGGGAGGAGGGCTCCCATAGCAAATAAATTTGGAAAGTAGTTCTTATTCAAGCCTTCCTCGTGGATAATCATTATCACCAAAGCAAGTCTTACGGAGCACTTACTATATTCCAGACATTGTTCTACAACATAAAATCATTCAATCCTCACAGCAACCACCCCTGATAAGCACTGGACTGCTAACCACAGATCAGCAGTTCAAATCCACCAGCCGCACCTCAGAAACCCTATTCTAGGTCTCTATGAGTCAGAACCGACGTGATGGCCGTTAACACCAATTCACAATATACATGTACATTAGCATATTATAACATCTCAGCATTCCTCTGAAAGACACCTGCTTAATGTTGTTTAACCAGCTGGTTTCCAGCTGTATTTGGCCATGAAACTCTTTTTTCAGACCACACCTATTAATATCCCTTTGACTACTAGACCACACTTGAGCATGGTGTTTCTGTCCCAGCTGTGGGATAGAAGGTCACTATTGAGTAGACGTCTGGGGTGGCACTGTAGGATAAGCACTGGACCACAAGGTCAGCTTAATCTGCAAAGTCAGTGGTTCAAACCCACCAACTGCTCCTCAGAAACCCTATACAGGGTTGCTATGAGTCAGAACCAACTCAACGACACTTAACAACAACAACAACATGAGTTGACTCAATGGCTCTACCACAGTGGGTTTGGGGTTGGAGTTGGGATTATGTTACTGGAGCCCCAGAGTGATGCAAACAGTTAACACAGGTGGCTGATAACCGAAAGTTTGGAGGTTTGAGTCCACGGGGAGATTCCTCAGAAACAAAGGTCTGGGGTTTACTTTTTTTAAAAAAACAGTCATTGAAAATCCGACAGAGCACACATGGGATTTCCATGGAATCAACAATGGCAACTGGTTTATTACATTGGTGTCAAGTCAATTCCAACTCACAGTGACCCTTCGGGACAGAGCGGTGACCTTACAGGACAGAGTGGTGACCCTAGGGACAGAGTGGAACTGCCCCACAGAGTTTCCAGTGCGGTCGTCTTTACCGGACAGCTACATCTTTCTCCCACCGAGTGGTTAGCAAGGAAGAAATGAAGCACATACCGCGAGGACTTCTGAGAAATTATTTAGGGTCCAGATAGGTGGCTCTGGCAGGCTGCGTGGTGGCGTGCCCTGGCATCTCTGAGCCTGCACACTGAGATTCACCACTTATCCACAGCTGGGTACTAGCTACACCAATTCCACAACATTTTGTGTTGTGAAGTGCCATCGAGTCGGTTCCGACCCATAGCGACCCTGTACAGGGTTTCCGAAGGTGTAAATCTTTACGGGAGTAGAAAGCCTCATCTTTCCCCCGCGGAGCGGCTGGTAGTTTCGAACTGCTGACCTTAAGGTTCGCAGCCCGATTCATAACCACTACATTATTTGAAGTTAAATTGTTGTTGTTGGGTGCTGTCAGGTCTACTTTGACTGATAGAGACCCCACATGACAGAGCAGGACAAGAAACCCCACAGGGTTTTCTGGGCTGCAGTCTTTAACAAGCAAATCACCAGGTCGTTCTCCTATGGAGTCAGTGGCTGGTGGGTTTGATGAGCACATAACCATTTGCATTACTGGGACTTCTTATTTGATATTCCACCTACTCCTCACTGATCAACTATCTCATTATCCAACATTTCACATTCACAGCAAGAGTACAGAAAATCTACTATCCAAGTATTTTGTGCATTAACGACACACATCTGGCGGTAAGGAATGCCACCGAGGTGCGGGGCGAGAGCAATGCTCATTGTGATGATTAAGCTTGTGTGTCCATTTCACTGGGCCAGACTCTACATGGTTTGGCAGTAGTTACACAAAGGGACTTCAAAAAGCTTGTTGAAAAACGGAATGAAAAGATAATGGAATTTTTTTTAGCAAACTATTTGAAGCCCCCTGGTATAATGATGTAATTGTTGTTGTTGTTGTTAAGTGCCGTCGAGTCGGTTCCGACCCATAGCGACCCTGTACAGGGTTTCCGAGGGTGTAAATCTTTACGGGAGTAGAAAGCCTCATCTTTCTCCCGCGGAGCAGCTGGTAGTTTCGAACCGCTGACATAAAGGTTCACAGCCCGATTCGTAACCACTACGCTACCAGAAATGATGTAATTAGACAGTTATATAATGATGTAATCTGACAGTTATATAATGCTGTAATTTGACAGTTATATAATGATGTAATTTAATGGATATGTAATGTAGAAATCATCGGACAATCTCTTTGATATCCCATGCGAGTAAAGTTTTATTAAAGGTAATACAGAAACAGCTGCAAGCATACATTGACAGAGAACTTCCAGAGGTTCAAGCCGGATTCAGAAGGGGCTGTGGAACGAGGGATATCATTGCTGATGTCTCATAGATCTTGGCTGAAAGCAGAGAATATAAGAAAGATGTTTACCTTTGCTTTATTGACTACGCAAAGACTTTCGATTGTGTGGATCATGACAAGCTATGGACAACATTGCGAAGTATGAGTATTCCAGAATACTTAATTGTGCTCATGAGGAATCTGTACCTGGACCAAGAGGCAGTTGTTCGAACAGAACATGGGAACACTGAGTGGTTTAAAATTAAGAAAGGTGTGCAACAAGGTTGTATATTCTCTCACCATACTTACTCAACCTCTATGCTGGGCAAATAATCTGAGAAGCTGGGTTCTATGAAGAAAAACATGGCTTCAAGATTGGAGGAAGAATCATTAACAACCTGCGATATGCAGATGATACAACCTTGCTTGCTGAAAGTGGAGAGAACTTAAAACATTTCTGATGAAGATGAAAGATCACAGCCTTCGGCATGGATTACATCTCAATGTCAAGACAACAAAAATCCTCACCACTGGACCAATAAACAACATTCTTATCAATGGAGAAAAGATTGAAGTTGTCAAGGACTTCATTCTTCTTGGATCAACTATCAACACTCACACAAGCAGCAGTCAAGAAATCAAACGATGTATTGCATTGAGCAAATCTGCTGAACAAGGCCTTTTTAAAGTGTTGAAGAGCAAAGATGTCAGCTTGAGGACTAAGGTGCACCTGACCCAAGCCATGGTATTTTCAATAACCTCATATGCATGTGAAAGCTGGATAGTGAATAAGGAAGACTGCAGAAGAATTGATGTTTTGAGTTATGGTGTTGGAGGATAATATTGAAAGTACCACGGGCTGCCTAAAGAACCAATAGAGCTGTTTTGGAAGTGCAGCCAGAGTGCTCCTTGGAGGCCAAGATGGCCAAACTTCGTCTCTCATACTTTGGACATGTTGTCAGGAGGGACCAGTCACTGGAGAAGGATATCATGTTTGGTAAGGTGGAGGGTCAGAGAAAAAGAGGAAGACCCCTAACGAGATGGATTAGCCAAGTGGCAGCATTGATGGACTCAAGCGTGGCAACAGTAGTGAGGTTGGCCCAGGATCGGACGTTGTTTTGTTCTGCTGTGCATAGGGTTGCTATGAGTCGGTACCGACTTGATGCCACCTAATAACATTAATGGTGTAATTTGAGGGTTATATAATGATGTGGTCATCTTCCATTTTGTGATATGATGTGGTTATCCTTTATTTTTTGGTGTAAAGCCAATTTTCACATAACGACCTGAACTTTTAAACCTAACCATGTTGTTAAGTGAGGAGCGTATACTCAAGTGTATACTCAAGTTCACACTTGACCTGCCCTGCTCAGTGACCCTGATGCCTCTCATTGACCAATGGAGCCCTGCTGTCATCCACCCAATCTAAAGCTTTCACCACCCAACACCCACAGGTGGGGGCGGTTTTGTGCCATGGAACCGGTTCAGACTCCTAACAACCTTGTATATGGTTTCCCAGGCTATAAATCTTTTGGGGGCAGAAAGGCTCATTTCTTTCCACATGGAGTGACTGTTGATTTGAGCTGCTTACTTTGCATTCAACAGCCTAGCTCATAACCCACTACACTCCCAGGGCTTCCTCAACACCTACACAGACCTTTCTAAACTTGAAACACTATTCCACCTGTG